ATTAGTCTTTGCAACTTCAGGGATCTTATCTATGCACAATCAGCTTGTAACACTCCAAAGAGAAAGGAAAACTTGAAATCGCATCATATGACCCCTTTAAAGAACCATATCGCGAAGTCAAATGATTTGTAACGAAAACTTTACATCTCACACTACTGAAATATTTTCAAGGCACAACAATAAGTGGAACTGTTATCATAGAGAAAATTAGAGTGTGGGTTGATAACTGAGTTGCATAATGAGCCCTCATAAATGCTTTGTGATGGAGAGATGTTAGATTACAGGAATAATGGTCTGTAAGTACTGCTCCTCCTCTTTTAACCCTCTGTCTCTCTCTGCCCCGAGGTTTAAATCTGGATCAAAGCAGACTTTAGCTGCCTTCGCCTCTATCTCTCTGTTCAGAAAGCGGGCGAGGGGTCATTTCCCATTGAAAGGCTTTTGTGCTGTGTGTTCCCTATAAATCCTCTCATTAGTTCATATGGAGCTGGACTGTGTCCAGAATGTGTCCATGAAGGTCCAGAGAATGCTATGCACTGTGTGCTGTTTTAAAGTTGAGAGGATATTTTGCATGGTTTTTATGTCGTTTTGTGTTTTAGAGTAGAGGAGCTAATTGAAGTTACAGTTGGGGAACGTACCAAATGAAGTCTGGATCAGATGAGAGGAGAGGGGGTGAAGGACTCGAACAAATCACCCTGCTCACCAAACTGGCATTGTGATTGGGGGCAGTGTGGGAACTGTGTTCTGATGGCTGTGCCGCACTAGATCTCTATCTGTCCATTGCTTGGACATCTCCTCCTACTGCGAGTGAGTTCGGCTTATTTCTATGCCCATTCAACTTATGTAGCAGATTTGCAGGCTAAAATGATGCTGAACGGACAGAATCAGTGCGATGGGGTTCAGTGCAACTGAAATTACTGTGAAATATGGAAGCAATTATATATGATAGTTTTTGCTCAGGTGAATTTACATGATTTAAAGTGTTGACAGAGGTGATGTGACTGTACAAATGCAGTTCACCACAAAATTACAATTCTGGTGTCATTTACACATCATGTCATTGCAAACCTATATGACTTTACTTCTTTGAAAAGCAAAAGATGATGTTTTTGTTGGATGGAGAGTTTTCAAGCTTTGAAGAACATTATTTTACAATAATAATAATATTTTATTTGATTGATTTGCATTTTTTAAATATATTTTCATTCTACTGCATTTTATTTTATTGCGTTTTATTGAATTACATTGCATTTTTTTCTCAACCAATCATTGCCCTCTGATTGTAAGGGTATGTTTTGGTTGATTTGAATGTTAACAACAAAGGATGTTGATGTAGGAACATGGCCTGCTTGGGTAAATTATGTGGAGTGATTTTTTTTTTGTATAGTTTTATTTATGGTAGAGTTTGGATGTGCATTTCTGTGTTTCCTTGAGAAGGGCAAGGTTATGATTTGTGGTTTTAGGTTCAATAATAAGCAGATCACAGAAATAGCTCCATGATCTTCAGCTGTGGCCAGACGGGCCTCTGTGTTTGTGTGTCCAGTCTGTGTGTGTTTGTTGGCTGGGCCGGAGCAGTTGGGCAGGTAGTGACCGGATAAGCCTGTGGTCACTCCAGCTCTGTTCAAGACTCTGAGTCCCGGGGCCCTCATCTCAAGCAGGGCATGGAAACCACCTAAAATTCATAGGCTTTGTAAATTTCTGGAATATTTAAGGGCTGGTTCTGTGGGCCACAGTTTTAGCAGGTTCTGGGAATGGGATGGGAAACAGCACGTGTGAGAGCTGTAAATGTGTGTGCATGAAGATGGTAGACCCCATGTTGCTTCTGGTTACAACTTCATTCCATGAGACATGAGACATTTAATACATTTTTATATTATGCAAATGTATTTGTTTAACAGTATTTATTAGTGCTGTGTTCAAAATATCGATACGACGATGTATCGTCACCTGAGAAAGATAATGTAACGTTAGCTTTTGAGCGATTAAGCTATTTACTTGATAAAACTGCAGGGCAGCGCTAAAAAGTTTGTTCCTGAATGTCTGAGTGCGGCCGCACCGTGATCTGTGTGTGTGCTTGTTCACACAAATGCTGGCACAGACGTGCATGTTCGGCTAGAGTCGCTTTGAACTCGTGCATCTTCGGAAGCGGAGCTGCGCAGAAAGTAAAAAAAAATGCCGTGCACACCGCCACGCGAAACGACGTTGCGCGCACTCAAAGCAAACTTCCGCCAACACCGCGATGCCGTCATATTTGCCGCGCGCACCTAAGCGAACTTGCGGACGCGCCGTCGAGTATAAATCAGCCTTGAGCGTGTGTGCGTTAGATACAGTGAAGACAGCGCGTTAGTTTAGAACTCTTCAAAAAAAAATTTTTTAATTGTAGAGAGTGTGTTAATTTGTGCAATGATAACCTACCAGCAATGTAAATGATTTTTTAAATGTATTAGACTTTGCTGGTGATACACAGCCCTAGTATTTATTATATCCTATTATAGAAGAAAGAAAATGTATGTAATTGTGTGCAATATATGTATGGTTTAGAATGATTTTACAACAGCTACGGGGTAATGGTTAATACATGTCGCAAAGTTTTATGAAATGAACACATAGCAACAAAAATTTATAATTTATTGATAACAAATAACAATTCTTCCACCAAGCCAAGAAATGTAGTTCTATATCAGTGTTTTGCAGAATGGTTACAGACTATTTTATTACGGCTTCAAACATGAACATGAACTGGAACTATTTGTTATATAATAATAATAATAATAGTAATAATAATAATGAAGCTTTATATTTGTACACAAACTATTTTAGTAATTATTTATATTTCAAATTTTTAAAAAAAATCTATATTTTTTGTAAAAGATAATCATATTCAAGTGTTATATATTAAATATATTTATAGATTTAAGAGAGACTAATCTTTGACCTGTCATCTAGCTCTAACCTACACCTAGTATTAAATTGCATCATTTAAATTAATTTCTTTGGCTGTTGTGGCATGCCATGTCATGTGTTCTTGAAAACACTGTCACAATTCCAGCAAACCCTACAATTTACACACACGCAATGCAACAGACAGACAATCTACAGTAATCTAGGCAGATTGATGCTGATTATTGAGCATGTAACAGCCCTCTGGCCTGTTTTCCTGGTGTGTGATCATAGCTGTGCATAAGCTGAGCCATTGATAATAACCGCCGAAGTATAGTAGATATAACGACCTCCATATGTTACACGTGCATTAACTCTCTTTGAATTCTGCTCCACATCTATTTGACTTATGTTTGCTCAACTTGAGGCATAATGGTTCATACAAAGGTCTGTTTGAGGTGAACTTATCAATGGCTCTTTGTTTCAAGTCGTTCTGTGTAAAAATCATGAGGGAGCTCAGGGGGAAAGAGATCTGATTGGTGTTTCTCTTCAAACCCACGTTCATTCCTTTCTTTTGCGACTTCTGGCATGTGCCGAGAGTCTGGGCTTGGGCCGCGCAGCTTTGTTTTCATTCTCTGTGTTACTTTCCCCTTCTCCTCTCCTCTGTCCTGCCTCTGGTCTGCTCCTCATCAGGGCTGGATTTGCCACTGGCTTCCCAATTAGAAAGTTCCACGTTATGTAGGGCACATTTAATGATTACCGTGGCAAACTTTCCAGATGACTTTTGTCTTCCAGGCTCGTTTCTCTTGTTTGCATTTTCTGCTAAATAATGACTGAAACCATACCTTGAGTGAGTTTCTATGTTACAAAGCTAGTCAGGATTTCATATGTTTATGTATGTACAGAGGTGGGGGGAATATTGATACATTTGTATGGCTATATTATATTGAGACATGGATTCCAAGTATTGATCTTTAATCAGGATTTGAATTTTGGTTTGGGACTGCTGATATTGCACATAGTTTTTCTCATTCCGCGTATAATAGATCAGAAATTTCTAGGGTTGCAAAACGGTGGAAAATTTCCAGTAAATTTTGGAAATATTCTAGAAATTTTGGAAACTTTCCAGGATTTTTTTTTTATATTCCAGGGATTTTTTTTGAAAGTTTCCGGAAATTTACTGGAAATTTTCCACCCCTTTGCAACCCTGGAAATTTTCCACCTCTTTGCAACCCTAGACATTTCCCAGATATTGATCAGAAATTTATAATTTTCTCATTCCGCTAGAATGAGAAAAATAATAAAAATAATTTGAAATGTTTCTGTCGAATTGTATTTTGACGAATAGCTTGACGGAATACAATTTTAATATTTACTGTATTTATTAAAATAATTTAAAATATTTTAATATTTATTGAAAAATATCAGTGTAAAAATCAAACTGCCTTGCAATATTGTGTGGGCTATTGCACAATGAAAATTACCACACAGCACCATCTAGCATCCCAATTTAAATATTTTTAATACAAAATAAATGGGCACCTGATTCAGGGTTTTGTCAGCAGTCACTCATGTTAAGCCGTTTTTTTTATTTTTTTGAGTGGCTTAAATGTTTCTGGGCTTTTTCAGCTGTGTGAAGTGAAGCCCCGATAAAAGCAGCACAAAAGAACCAGTCTTTCTCCCGGGGAATGTGCCTCTGCTCTGGTTTTTGGCTCGAGTTTCTAAAAGCTGTCTTAAATCTGGATGAGCAGCCCACATGCTCACACGCGCAGGACATCGTCCCCCTCCGTGACTTGACCTGCTTGTAGTGCTGCGGAAAGAATAAAAATGGGTGGATTTGTATTGCTAGCGAAAGACTGCAAAGTAAACAGAGCTGACAATGCTCTCCTGCTGGGCGTACGGATCATTTAACCTGTGTAAACATCATAAAGAGTTTTCAAAGAAGATGGTTAGACTGTTGAAGGACGGGCGTCCAACAAAACATTGATCACTTTTACAGTATGTGGGAGTTGGATTCGATCATTTTATGGTGTTATTATTCTTATGTCATCAGAACCATCCAGTACAGGATGGAGGTCAATTGGATTGCTCTACTCTGATTCTCATATTTGTCTCTCTGTTAGGAACTGGTGTCCGCAGACAGTGACTAAGACAGTGACCTGTCAGGTGCAGAATGGCACCACTCTCCAGAGGGTCTATCAGACCTGCAGGTGGCCTCAGGGATGCAATGGAGGAAGGTGAGTTTATCAACACACACTTACTCAGTGTTTTATATCATTTTAGGGAGCTCCCTTTGCAGCCTGTGCAGTAAATGTAATGGCATTTTCCTGTTCAGTGGTCATGTGCTAATAGGACACAGTTCCAAAAACATAACTAAAACTATTAAGGGCCCTATCATACACCCGGCGCAATGTGGCGCCAGGCACGACACAAGTGTTTTTTGCTAGTTTCAGCCCGACGCAGTTGTCATTTTCACGTCCTGTGCCACGTTGTTTAAATAGCAAATGCATTTGCGCCCATTTGTGCACCCATGGGCGTGCTGGTCTGAAAACGAGGTGTGCTCAGGCGCATTGCTGGTGCGTTGCTATTTTGAGGCAACTGAAATAGACTGCGCCATTGCATTGACCAACAAAAACCTGGTCTAAAGTCAATGGCGCAGTAGTTTTTTGTTATTTAAAGAGCACGTTAGTATAGGCGGGTCCACAGCGCGCATACACTCTGCTTATTACACACACAGGGATGCACAGCGGCACACAAACATGCCAAATATAAAAAATTTAAGGATTGCAATGTAAAAGATTATTATTGTGTAGGCTACATAAATATAAAAATGCCTACATGTCATAATGGATAGTCATTGCATGTATCAGGCTACCTATTTGCTCGCGCGCACGAGCAGCTCCGTTTCATCTCTGGAGACGCGTTCTCTTTGTGCTTGCAAATTCCACCGTGTAAATAGCAAATCCGCAATGGCACGAGCGCAACTGGCTCTTAAAGGGAATGGGAGATGAGACTCTGATTGGTTTATTACACGTTATGCCCAAAACACACCCATTACTCATTAAGAGAATAGGGACAACCCTTTTAGACCATAGACCATTTTTCCAGTCGTTAAACTAGCAAAAGTGGATTTGGACATGCCCTAAGTGCACCTGCACCGTGCGCTTTAGACCATGCACTTAGATCGTTCAAATGGGGCCCTAAATGTTGCATGTGTAAAGTTATAATCTCATAATTCCATTTTGCAGTTCTTGATAGGATCTTGTAAACCCATATTTTTTTGCATAATATGCATGAAATGCTATAAGTATATGCTACCATTCAAAAGTCTTCGAAAAAAATCTCTATAGTGGGATTTTACTGTAAAAAAATAAAAACAAACTTTGAAACAGACTTAAATTTTATGTGTGTGTGTGTGTGTGTTGCAGCTATCGCACTGTGGTCCGGCCATCCTATAAAGTCGTGTACCGCACTATCACCTCTCTAGAATGGAAATGTTGTCCTGGATACAGCGGACCTCAGTGTGAGGAAGGTAAGACTGACTGGTGACGTTAGTTGCATCCCAAAACAGAACTAATTTATGAAGAAGGAATCTCTGTATTGTGCTTGTCTTTTTGTCAGTGTTGGGAAATCTACCAAATTTAAAAACTTATAAAGTAGTCAAACTACAGTCAAGCTGCTCTTTTGAAAAAAATAATAATAATAATAATGTTTTCAGAAGGTTAGATTATAAAATTGACTATCAGATTATGAAACAATTTTTGTTTTTTTGGCTTTCTGGCCCAAAACTATATGAATTTTAATTTGGGTGACAGCATTTAACTTATACCGAATAAAACACATACCAAACTAATAGAAACATTCCAATTTGAAAGCAGCATTTGACTAAATCTGACTAAATATTTTAATATCTATTATTTTTTAAACATGAAATGTTGCATAGGGACTGTGTATTTTTTAATAGGTTTATTAAAATAAATTGCCTGACAGAACGAAAAATGAATCTGACTTCCCAATGCTACTTGAGAGAGAATATATTTCCTCTTTTACTTGGCTGTGTGCATTACACACTGTGACAAAAAGCATCTATGTAGCATTTCATCATGCTACTCGTTGGAAAATATTGCTGGAAAAAGCTACACTGTTTTGGAGACGACTGAACTGCTGTCACATGGCTAAAAAATAAAAACACTTTGTAGCGTCGCTACTCCTAGTTGATATTCCCAGCACGCTCATAGTGCAGAACTAGACATGATCTAGGAATGGGTAATGATACACAAGTGTTTGGGGTCTACGAGGTAGCCATATTTGTTATTTAATGTTTATACAGGCTCACACAAGGAGACCACCGCACAACTAATGTCCTGCCCTGGCCACAGTTCACGTCTCACTTTGACTTTGACTTCTCGTTTGCTCCACTGTCTCTGTTTGTAAATCATGTCCCACTTTCAGGAGAGCAAATAGTGGAGAAGACAAAAGAAGAGAAACAGGATGGATGGCTATTGTGAGATGGCGAAAGCATGCGTGTGTGTGATTAATGTGAGCGCATGTCTCAGCTGTGTTTGTGTGCTGTTTCTGGCTACTTTGCTCTGTGACTGTGTGTGTTTGGCTGCATTCTCTGAGTGTCAGCCAGAGCCTCATTGTGAGTCGTGCTGGGAGTAACTGTGAGGACCAGCCAGCAGCCATGAGAGTCTCCTATCCTCTCTCAAATGAACCAGGTCTTGTGTGATCTGGCCAAAATTGGGCTTTCTAAGCTGTTGTTTGAACCAGCTGTACCCACTGACCCACTAGTAGTTTTTAAGTCGGGTTTGGACACTTTTAAGTACCGCTAAATGATTTAATGTGGCAGGCATTGCCAGGGTGGCAAGTCTTCATTTGACTGAACTTTAATTTACTTTTATAGACAGGTTTGGCTTTAATGTGTCTTGTAAATTGCTTTGAGGGATCTTAATGCTGTACTGTGTCTGTCATGTGGTTGTGTGTGTGTGTGTGTGAGTATGCTAAAATCTCAAGTAGTAACTGTATGCTAACTTACTTGTCTGTGAGGCAAAGTGGTGTTTCTTTAGCCTACAGCCAAAGGCTTTGTCCATCTGGAGCTCTTTTTCTTCTCTAGGTAATAACAGGAGCATGTACACTCATCATTTTAATACATTTTCAGAAGTTTAGTTCACTCAAAAATGACTCTAGCATCATTTACTCACTCTCATGTTGCTCCACGTATGATTTATGGTTTTTGCTTTGGAAAACAAAAAGACATGTGTTGCACAGTGTCCAAGCTAAAGCCAATTTGGTTCCAATTCACAAGATTTCAGTTAGACTTTATTTAATGGTTTGATTTAAATTCATTCGTTCATTTCATAACTTAAATTTAATTTTATTCAGATTCATTTAGGTACATTTTTCTGTTATAATATCTATTTTGCTTGCATATAAATAACCTCTCAGCCAATCCTGTGAAATATACAAATATTGTTTTATATTCTTTTTTTATGTTGTTTAATGCAGACTCCATCCTTGAAAGCAATGCTGAATTGATGTTTATTCAGTGACTGCTCAGATGCATTCTTTTTAAATTATTAATTAAAGGGATAGTTCACCCAAAATGAAAATTCTGTCATCATTTACTTACCCACATGCATTAATAATGTCTTGTAATGCATTGTATAATGCATTGTACAATCTCATGAATAATTGTAACCACAGTTAATACATTATAACACTTATCAATTCATTGTTACACTATGCATTTTAAATTCAGTTATAATTATTTACGACAAGTTATGTATTACCATGCACATTATGAATAATTATGATGCATTATATCCTTTAATAACCCTTCGTAATGCATTAAACATAAAGGCTTTAAGTAAAGTGTTACCGATATTTTTACCTGAGTTATTGTTGCCCCTAGGCCTGTCGCAATAATCAATATATCGACTTATCGCGCAATTTAAAGCTGATAGAATGAATAAATTCAAAATTTGGTAACACTTTATTTTAAGGTGTCCTTGTTACATATGTTACATTTACTTACTATTATAATAACAATAAATTATGCATAATTACATGCAAATAACCCTAAGCCAAACCCTAACCATATAGTAAGTACTTGCAGTTAATTAATATTACTCAGTACTTAAGTGTATAATTACTCTGTAACAAGGACACAAATCTTACACCTGTAACTAAATTGAAAGTCTTAAGAGATTTTGGTTAAATTATTTCTGCTTTCAGATTGATTAAAAAAACACTGACCATTTAGTAGTGCTATTTATCTCATAGATGCACTCTATACAAGTAACTGTGTGAACTGAGTTGATCTGGTTAGTGAATCGGTTTGATCCGAGAGGGCAAATCCGAACTTGATTAATAGTTCCTTATTTTTTAAATGAGTTTACTTTTATCCGAAGAAGAAACAGCACAGACAACCCACACCCACACCCACACCGCCAACTGAAATCTAATCGGTTCTCTTTTCACACAATTAAATACCCCAAAGGCAGCAGACATCCATGAAATGAGAGATAAAGTGGACGAATTAAGTTAAAGCTGTTCATCATAAGAGAGGGATGATGAAATGGAGAGAGGATACCGCCTTAAGTGGTACACTGTGAGGCCTGTGAACATTAATGTCTTATCGGTACCATGTGAGTCAAACTCTGATCACAGACACCCCTGAGTGGAACTGACAGCTCCTTTCTGTCTCTTTCTGTGTCTCTGAAACCACAGTTTACAGTGGGCTTCAGCACCCTCAAGACATGCTCATGTCACTGATGCAATACACTGTAGCGAGGAACAGAATCTAGAAAGCATGTTGTGTGCAATGCATGAACATTTATTAGTGTCTGGTATTTCAGACCGTGGAGAATGAGCTTTATTCTCTTATATATGGTGAGATGTACTGTCCAGACAGCCCCCACATCATCTTGTTTTAAAACACTGTCTGTCTCTGTCTCTGTTCATGTCTACACTGGCTCAAGGACATTTTCATGCACACAGTATGGGTTGTAGTTTGAAATGTAAAGTGTAATGGCATCTCAGCGCAGTGAATATGTGTTGTTGTAGGATCAGTTACTTGTGTTCTGATGTGTGGAATGAGGAAAGAGAAATATGCTGCTTCGGTCAAACTATCTTTCTTACACATCATCTCCACTTTAAAGCAGAGCTATTCATGTAAGCCTAACAGAACAACTCCTTAGTGCAACAAAAACTACTATCTGCAGATAGCAGTTCTGTGATACTGTATAATATTTCATTGGTGTGTAAAGCATCAGCGTTATAGCATTCTTTTTTTATTCTTTTTTTGTCATGAAAAATATATATATAGCAGAAAATTCTGGCAAAATACAGACCAAAAAAAAAGAAGATTTGGTAGTGCTCTGTTTGATCTGTAGTTTCTTTTCCTTTGGGATATTAATTGAACAGGCCTGCTTTAAAGAGTTGATTGTGGATTAGAGATACCAAAGATTTCTCTTGTTTTCATTCAGTTTCGGCCCAGACACTTCTTTGCTCTCACACTTGTAATCTCTTGTTCTTTGCTCATTAGTTCTCCCTCTCTCACTGGCGTCATCTGAACTAGTAAAAACATTACATCACCGATAAGACACAAAAACATATTTGAAGTAAATGTTAAGCTTTTTCATAAAGATCAGTGTCCCACCCTTGTTTACATATTCACACACACACACACACATACTGTACACAGACCTTTGAAGCTGTATTAGTGAGGACCACTTCAAATGCCCAGTGCTGTAGTGCATCCTGAAAACTTTGAACTGTATATACACTACCATTTCACACCAATGTTTTTGAAAGATGCCTCTTATGCTCACCAAGGCTGCATTGAAATTTAAAAGTTATCTATTTTAATATATTATAAAATGCAATATATTCCTGTGATGGCAAAACTGAATTTTTAGGAGCCAACACTCCAGTCTTCAATCTCACATGATCCATCAGAAAACATTGGTGTTCACTGTTGAAAACAGTTATGCTGCTGCTTAATATTTTTTCTGGAAACAGTGATACATTTTTCAGGATTCTTTAATTATAAAGTTCAACAGAACAGCATTTATTTGAAGTCAAATTATTTTGTAACATTATAAAAGTCTTTACAATTTAATGTCCTTGCTGAATAAAACTATTAATTTCTTTAAAAAAATCTAACTGACCCCTAAACATTTGAATATTAAAACACACACACACACACTGAAAATCTAGATATGTAGCTATTTAGTAAACACCTGAGGTCCGTTGTATGAGCAGTTATGATTAGGGCTGTGTATCACCAGCAAAGTCACGATACGATACAGAGGAATAATGTACTCGTTCTAATAAATGTATATTGTAATGTACTAATTCTAATATATTTAAATAATCTTAACATTGCTGGTAGGTTATCAATGCACAAATCAACACACTCTCCACGTTTAAAAAATAAAAATAAAAATGAGAAGAGTTCTCAAATCGATGTATCGAACACAGCACTAGCTGTGATATAGTTTTACTGTCTGTTTTTACATACAGTGCTCT